GATGTCCGTGAGCACTGGGCACTGACGGTCAGCGTCGGCGCTTCGAGGCTGGTTCTCGTGCATAGTGTGCAGCTGGGTGGGCCCGCGTCGGTGGCCAGGTGTGCGCTGAGCCCTGCCCATCCATAAGCCCGCGATAGAGGCACTGCCGTCAGCCCCATTGCACAGAGGAGGAAACAGACTTGGGGAGGCTGCGAAGTCGGGTACCGGGGACCTGAATCCGGGTCTGTCTAACTCCAAGGCCGTGTGGTGCAGGGTGCTGGGGGAGCCAGGCTGCCTGGGGTCCCATCCCAGCTCTGTTCTTCCTGGTGGGTGGAGGGGGCAAGCCGTTTCACTTCTGTCACTTAGTTTCTACATTAAAATGGAGGTAATGTAATGAATAGTCCAAGGGCCTGGCACATAGGGTTTCTGTGAGGGTGGAATTCGCATGCACAGAGCACTTGGGTGCGCCTGGCCTGTGGGAGGTGCTGTGCAGGCATTCCCGCTGTTTAGTGCCATCATGGTATTGACCATGATTATGATGTCGGACCCTGTCGGGGGCGTTAGGTCGCTTCCAGGGTTCCCCTGTGCCAGCAAGAATATCCTCATCACAGCAGTTCTCAACCATGGGTGGCTTGCTCCAAGAGACATTTGGTGATGTCCGAAGGTCCCACCCTGGGGGAGGGTGCGCTTTTGGCTTTAGCGAGTGGGCGGGGTGGGGGAGGGGCGCTGCTCGCCGTCTTGCCTGCACGAAGCAGCTCCCATGAGCTGAGCGGAGAAACCCCTCTGTGCACTGACACAGGCATTTTCTGCAGAAGTTCCTCCAAGGACAGTGTTTTTCACATTTTCGGTGTTGCTAAAGTGCCATCACAAAAGTCACAGACCAAGGGAGCCCTTCGCAGAGCCGCGGGTGGTGAATGGGGGTCGCTTCCCTCTGTCCGCCCCACACCCCTTTCCTCCCAGATTCACCGACAGAGGCTGTTGAACGACAGGTTCCTGTGGTCTTTGAACTGATCTCCCGAGCCAGTCCTCTGAGCGCTATAGGCAGGCACAGATTAGGGGGCAGGTGACCGAGGCTCCTGGGGGGTCCCAGTGCCGGGACAAGCCCCCACCCCACTGTCTCCAGCTCCAGGAGACGCAGAGCCTCTGCGTCCCCTCCCGCCGCCTTCGTTCATCTGTGCCGTCTGGCGTGGAAACCAGGTCAGGGAGGGGGGACGAAAGAAAAGGGACCCGGCAAATGGCAACGAAAGGGATGTAGCTTATTTTGAGCCTTTTCCCGGCACAGGGCTTCACTTGGTACACATTCATTTCACAAATACTTAAGTGCCCGCTGTGCGCCTGGCACCCAAGAGAGGCCAGAGCCCCTGCCCTTACCGTGCTGGTATCACAGTGGGCAAGGGCGGCAGTAAACCGATAAGCAGGTAGATATGAACAATCACGTCAGTGGTACGTGTTTGTGGAGAAAAATAAAGGGTAAGTTGGGGTAGGGTGGGTGCACTTTTGCCTAGGGAGGTTAAAAAGGTTTCTCAAAGAAAGTGACGTGTGAGCAGAGACGGAAGAAAGTGGGGAGGGCCTGGATGCCTGGAGCAGAGCCCCACCTGAGGGGCAGCGTGTGCCCGGCCCTAGGTCAGGGTGTGCTGGCGTGTCGGGGCAGCCGCAGCAACAGGCACCACCCACGTGGAGTGTGCGTGGACACGTAACGGGGCGATGGCGCAGACCTCGCAGGGCCCTGGGGCTCCCATTAAGGACCTCGGCTTTCATTCTGGGTTGTTGGATGGTTGTTAGCTGAAGGGTGTGAGCAGAGGAGGGATGGGCTCTGGCTCAGGTGGTCACAGGGTCCCAGACCGTAGAAGGGGTGAGGACAGAAGCACTAGAGCTCAGCTAGGCCCCACAGCCCTCCTGAGTGGCAGGAAGCACGCGACTAGTTTTGCAGATGAGGAGACAGGTTTGGAAGGGCCCTTCCCGGGGCTGCCAGCTGGGGCACGGCCGTCCTCCTGTGTCGCCCCGTACGTTGCCTCTCATGGATCTCGCTCCAGCACTGTGAGATGCAGCCTCTGAAGGAGCTGGTTTGGAAACCATTGAGAAATAAATGGAAATAAAAATGTCTTAAAGAAATTTTAAAATAATTTATTATAGAGTGTTTGATCCTTAACAATAGAGTAAGTCAGTGATACCCTCATACTCAATGATACTCTAAAAAATAAACCCTCACCGGTGCAGGCAGAGTCCCCTTTGGGACCCTGTCCAGTCACCCCCTCCTGCGCAGAGCTGACCCTTGCGCTGGTGGAATTCAGCCCCATGCAGCTCTTTGTGTGGAGTTAACTGTGCCCCCCACACTGACGGGGCTGCAGGTGTGCCACCTGCTCTCCTGGAGTGCATGTCCCTTCTCCAGCAGGACCGTTGTACAGGTGGGAGCATTGTGGTGCACAGAGGATGTCACCTGCCCGTGGCCACACAGCCAAAAGGCAACGGAGCCCGAGTTGAAATTCGGACTCCCTGGACCTTGGACTCCTCTTCGTCACTCACTGTGACCTGGCCTCCTGAGGGGGAGGGCCCAGGCAGCCAGCCTTGCGGGGGCAGGAGGCCCAATTTTGGCTCCCCTGTATCTTCTGGGCTCCCAACCCGGGTTCTTTTTTATGGTTTTTTTTTTTTTTTTTGTCATAAAATACAGAAAAATGTGTTATATTTGTTATAAAATAAAGAATAACAAATAACTGTAAAGCAAAGCCTGGTGCGATCACCATGGAACATTGTCAGCTCCCAGAAACACTGCGCGCCCACCCCCCACTCCATTATCCCAAATCTAACCACTCTCGTAACATTTGGATATTTGTTGTCTTGATTTTCTGCACAGTTTACAAAGGAGAGAGGCAGCCCTAAACAAACACGTTGCCTGTTTGTAAAGGAGCTTGCTATGACTGGACCCTTACTGAATGTGTTTTGTGTCTGGCTCTGTCACTCAGCGTCACGTTCTTTACTTCATCCCTGCTGCTTGCGTCAGTCGGCCGTTGGTCCTTTCTAGTGCCGAGTAGTGTTCTGCTGTATGAATTTATCTGTTTGTTTAGCCATCCTCCAGTGGGTGGACACCTGGTCTGTTTCCAGTTTGCGAATGAGTGTGATTATTGCTGCTGTGAACATTCTAGTACGTGTCTCAGTAAGCAAATACACTTGTTTCTGTTGAGGCCGAGGACTTACTGGGCCATGGCGTAGGCATATATTGAGTTTTAATTCTTACTGCCAAACAGTTTTTCATGGTGGTTGAGCATTTGATTCTCCCACCAGTAGTGATTCCTTTACATCCTTGTCAACACTTGGCATTGTCAGTTTTAAAAATTTTAGCCATGTTGGTGAGTGGTTTTAATTTGCATTTCCCGGGCAGCTGGTCAGCTTAGTTTGTTAGAGCATGGTGCTAATTTGCCCGTAACCAGTGGGATTGCATGTGTTCCTTGGTTGTGTGGAGGTCTTCTTCTGTGAGGTGCCTTTGCTCTTTTTACCTGCTTCCCACGTGGCTCACCTCTAGTTGACAGCTGCAGCTCTAGCCCAGGTCCTCAGCAGACTCAGGCCTGGGGCTCCCTAGGAAGCAGCGAGTGGGGATGGGGTCACGCCAGGCACTCCCTGCCATGGAGCGTGCTGCCTTCAGCCTAGTGGCTGGAGCAGACCCCTGCATCCAGACACTGGCCTCCTGAGGCTGGTCTCTGTCACCTTGCCTGGGCCGCCTCCATTGGCATCTCCCCAGGGAGCAGGCCATCCTCTTGGCTGGGGTGCCTGACATTTCATCACTGCAGGACTGCGTCACAAACACCTCAGCTGAGGCACCACCCTCAGTGGGAGGACAGGGCAGGATCCAGGCGGGACACAGGGGATCTTTCAGTTCCTCCCTCTGCCCTTGCCCAAGCTGCTGCTGGCTTCTTAGTTGCTGAAGTGAGAATATAAAAAGTGGCCGTGGGGTGCAGAGCAGCGGCCAGGGCTTCCACCACTGCCCGGCCTGGAGACCCAAGGTAAACGCTTCCCCTCTCCGAGCCTCTGCCCTACCCTGGGCATGGTCTCTGTCCCTCTGGTGGGGAGGTCGGGAGCATTCAGAGAGACTGCAGGGGAGCAGCAGCACCCTGCTCAAGGCCACACACTGGCAGTGGCTCTTGGACCCTGCAACCCTGACCACTGTCGGCCACACCTGGCTGCCTTCACCTCATTCTGATCATTGCAGCCATGTGTTCCGGTGTTCGCTGGGGGCCAGGCAGCAGGCTGATCCTCTGCACACAGTGGGTGCTTTAGTGCTGCTGAATCATGGAGGCTCCTCAAGGTGAACTCGCCAGGCTGGGAGGGGAGGGGAGGGAAGAGCTGAGATCAGACACCAGGCCCTGTTTTTTACCTCCACGTCCACCCTGCCTTTGGACTCTGGGTCCATCCCAGACCTTTGGGAACTATTCCAAACAGCTCGTACCAGGGAAAGTGTGGTGTTGGCCCACGTTGAGGAGGGATTCCCTACGTCTCCACAGCAGCTGCCAGTCCCTACGTGTTCTCCCACCCACCTGACCTGGCTCCTGACCCTGTAGCCACAGCCACGTGGGCCCCTTGGCAGTTCTCTACACTCTCCAAGCTCCTTTTTGCCTCAGGCGCTTTGCACTTGCTATTCCCCTGCCTGGAATTCTTTTCCCTGCATGTTGGCGGGGCTCACTCCCTGCTCACATGTCCCCCATACGCATGGCTAACATGGCTCCGTTTCCTGTCTCCATTTCCTCTGCTTTATTTTTCTTCTCAGCGCCTCTCCGCCACCCAGCATTGTTACTGTGTGTATTGGTGCCTTGTTTGCCTCCCCCGCTGGAATGTGAGCATCCTACAGGCAGGGGCTATGTCTTAGTGACGCCCTGTCTCTGGCACCCAGGGTAGTGTCTGGAGCTTAGGACATACTCAAAAAATTGGTTACATGACTAGATCCTAGAAGCATTTCGATGGTTGTGTCTGGTTCTGGGCTTGGGGGTCTATTGAGGAAATTTGGATTCATTCATTGTGTACCCAGCAGATACCCAGACGTTGTGTTGGTCCACTGTGTTAGCATTGATAGGCGTGGGGAGACTGGCTGAGGAAGTGCACAGAGAGCCCCCAGTGAAGCCTCTGAGGTCAGCAAGGCTTCCTTTCCTGGAGGAGGCATTGGTTCAGCTGCGACCTCAAGGAGCGAGAAGTCACAAAGGTATGGGGGATGGAGATCAGGGGTAAGGGCCTAAGTCACAGAAGTGGGGCAGAAAGTGGGGATTGAGGGAGGAGGGACTAGACGGGTGGGTAGTGCCAGGTGTAATCATTGTCAGTGCCAGGTGTAATCATTAGCCTTTACTGAGGGCTTTTTAGATGCCTCGCGGTTCCTAGAAAGGGAGGGACGGGGCCAGATTTAGACAGAGTATAGGGGCTGAGAGCAGAGGCTGGGAGCCCAGGGAGCAGCGGGGTGGGAGGGGTGGAGGGGGAGGCGGAGGGCGTGGGAGAGGTGGTCAGAAAGCTGGGTGGATGGGCACCGCGGACCGCCCAGGCCAGCAGGGGTGGGAGGCTGTGGCTACGGCCAGCGAAGCCAGGTCCTGCAAGTCCTTGAATCCCAAGCTGAGGAGCTTGGCTCTTGTCCGAGGCCAGTGGGAAGCCGCGGAAGGGTTTTGAGTAGGGGAAGGACAGGATCAGGTTTGAAGGTCCCTCTGGCTGCTGAATGGGGGGAGGTTGAAGGGGGTCGTCCAGGGAGGAGGTGGGGGGGTCGTCCAGGGAGGAGGTGGGGGGTCTCATCCTGCTGGATGAGAACAGGGCTGAATCTGAGCCAGGCCCATGGAGGGCGGGATGGAGTGGCTGGTCACATTAGTGCTTGCAGTGCAGACTGATGGGAGAGTCAGGGTTGAGGAGCTGGCAGTCGTGAGTATTTGGGGCGGTGGGGGTGCAAGCCCCTTGGGGTGCTGGTCATGCCTGCTGGGGGGAGCCCCTCTTGCTGTTTCTGGCTCCGCCTTTGCAGCTTGGAGTTCGGAACGTGGTTTCTGAGCCGCTCTTTACTTCCTTGTCCCTGTCCATCTTGTCTTTCCCCCGCTTCCTCCCACTTACCTCCTTCCCTCTGCCCAGTCGGGCAGCCTGCCACTGTCACATGCCAGGCAGTAGTGTGTCCGGCCCACCAGCTCCCCTGGGGCACGAGAGAAAGCTGATGCCCATGGTGTCCCCGGAGCCAGCTGCCATTTCTCTGGGGGCCACCGTAGCTCCTGACCTGCTGTCCGCAAATAACCCCCGGCCAGGAAAGGCGAAAGGCGCCTTGGGCTCCATGGCCCTTGTCCAGGCCTGCGGCTCCAGGTAGGGGCCCAGCTGGCAGCTGCCTCCCGCCCTTCTCCCTGGGAACCTGAGACAGAAGCAGCGGCCTCGGCGTCTGTCAGTCTATCAGCTGCTGGTCCCTGAGGACAGAAGTGGAGGTCTGGGGAAAGGGACCAGGGCCTTGGTCGAGCCCTCAGGACTGGCTTCTAGGCCTCAGACAAGTGCATACGCAGTAGGTTGCTTTCTTGTTCGAGATCCTGGGTACTTGAGTTCTGACTTTCCTTGGTTATTTGGCAGGGGCAAGGAGGGACCTGAGGCTGAAGGAGTGACATGGGGTGGCCCGGTGCAGCGGGATGGGGGTACTTGGCTTGCTAAAGGTGGCAGATTGGTGGTTCCCTGGTTTAGAAAGGAGAGTGAGAGTGTGAGAGAGAGAGAGAGAGAGAGAGAGAGAGTGTGTGTGTGTGTGTGTGTGTGTGTGTGTGAGTGTGAGAGAGAGAGAGAGAGAGAGAGAGAGAG